GGAACCAGAAATCCAACACCAAATACAGTCAGGGCAGAATTCAGTGGTTCATAGTAGCTTTCTGAAGTTGCACTTGCTAACATGCAAGATGTCTTCTCACTTTCCCCTCAAAGCTAAATGTAGGCACCTCCTCTTTCCTTATGCACTATGTCTTGGACAGAATATAAAATTGGAATCTAGACATGTTCCATTAAACTGCACACAAGCAATATATGGACGTGAGACGGGAAGACATGGTTTCACCACCGGATTCTAATCATGAATACAACTACGTATACGTAAGACACTATCCTACATCCCACCCTATGCACACAGAAGTCAGAGTAGGGCCAGCTTGCACAATCCATGAGTTGACTGAACATGCTGAGGGGACCCACAAGAAGAGGCCCAAGGAAATCAACAAAGAGCTTGGCTAGATGGCAAAAGTAGAAGACGGCTGGACCAGGCTAAACATGCTCACTTAAGGTTACACAGAGTGCGGTATGCCATTAGGTGTGATCCTTGCATCCCCACAGTATATGCACCTCAGGTGACCCTTTTTGGCCTGCCTCCCTTGAAAAGAACAAAGGAAACAGGGGAAAAACTGCCCTCCTTGTCCCTTCATTTCTCCTTCTCTTTCCAGAAAGAAGCTTTCAACAGTTTTTTATCTAAAAGGTACAGCACATTGTTGCTGTTAAGTCGTTTAGTCATGTCCACTATTTGTGACCCCATGGACCAGAGCACACCAGGCCCTCTTGTCTTCCACTGCCTCTCGGAGTTGGGTCAAATTCATATTGGTAGCTTCGATCACCCTGTCCAACCATCTCGTCCTCTGTCGTCCCCTTCTCCTCTTGCCTTCACGCTTTCCCAACATCAGGGTCTTTTCCAGGGAGTCTTCTCATCAGATGGCCAAAGTATTGGAGCCTCAGCTTCAGAATCTGTCCTTCCAGTGAGCACTCAGGGTTGATTTCCTTCAGAATTGATAGGTTTGTTCTCCTTGCAGTCCAGGGGACTCTCAAGAGTCTCTTTCAGCACCACAATGTTGTCCTAATAGGCTTTGAAAGACATAAACCTTTGTTTCCTTCCTTTCCCCTTCATGAAGGAGCAGAGGAAGTTTTACATTTTTTAATATTGTTAAATGGTTAAGCTGTCTTCTTAAACCATTTAATGATACCGGGAAATTGAAAGTAGATGGGAAAGTGAAAGCAGCATGCCATCCATGTTGGTTCAGTCCCAGCAATCACACACACTGGAACTGAACCAAAATGGAGTGACCACCTTAAAACAAACAAACCCTGCCAGGGAGTCAAAAAGGTGTGGGTAGGAATGCCCTAGGGATGTGCTCATTTGTGCTGGCACTTATGTTGTGTGGTCAGCAGAAAAAGTGAACCAGCTTCTCTCCAGAGTGGACCAAACAGTAGGATAACCTCCACTGTAGTCACACCAGTACTGTAAGATGTTATAGACAGGCAGTTCCTCCTAGGTGCAAGAATTTTCCTACACAAATACAGTGGTACAAGATACCCCCATTCGTACAAAGAACCCACAATGGACTCTGCAGCTTGGCCCTGAATGTTACTTCTTATTTGTTATAAACCTCCTTATCACAACAATGTACTCAAAAGAAAACTATTTCTAAACATTACTGAAAATAATGCTATAATACTTTTCCACTACATTTTTAGGTTCTTTCATAAAAAAAACTGAGACAGTCCATTCCATAGAAGTAAGTGGAGCATGGGATTTATCTATTAAATAAAATGATGTGTTTCTATGGAGAATTTCAGCCATTTCCAACATATCCACTTAAAAATTATTTACATGCCGGCTTTGAATGGAGAGATTTGCAATGATATATTCTTTTGGTGTTCATTTAGGGATCATGAGCTTTGAACATGGTGACATATTCTCCTTCCTTACAGAAATAACTGTATTTTTATAGAAATGAAAATCGCAAAACGTGTTTATAAATTATTATGGAAATACAGTAAAACTGAGATTCTGGGGTTTGAATGGAACAAGAAACACATGTGTCTTCTATGCCTTTGAAACATATTAGGTACAGTAGCTATACCCTATGATGTTTTTCTTGCGATAGGAAACTACAATCCATATTTCATCTTAGAGAAATCTTTGATACTATGTTTGTGCACTGCTAGGTTATGTTCTAGCAATAAGGAGTCTAACAGAAGGATAGCACAAACTGAATTTTTTATGCCTATACACCTGCAAAGAAATTTATATGTCAAAACTGACAGAAGAAATGCTCATTAGCTATCAAGGTATCTGCAGCTTTCACTACTCTATAAATGTATCCTATAGTCATCATTTCTACTAGGATACAGATGTACAGTCTGCTTATATAAATTTGTACATTAATACATGATTGTTTTATCCTTCTTAATGTTACTATTAACTAACTCATCCCTGATTATTTTATGTTTATGTATATGCAAAAAATTTAAATGATTCGTAGTGTCTACATTTACAGTATCCTGCATTCAACCCTTTCAGGACCTAAATATGAACAGACCTAATTCTAGAAATAATTAAGGTTTGATACAAGAAAAGATTGAGGTGGTCAACTCAGAACTTGAGTTGTGAGTTACTTCTAGTTTTGTACAATGATGAGACATGGACCTTAAAGATAAGAATAATGTTTCAGTACATTCAAGCTTATCTGAAATATGGCTGTATATTGCTAGACACCATGGGTGTCTAGCAAGGTTTCCTCTAAGGTGTGTGTCTGTGCAAGTATGTGCAACTCTGTCCTCCTCTGTGCAGGGCTCCTCCTCCTGCACACACTCATGGTGATCGTTGTGTATGTCTGCTTGTTTCACCAAACCAAGGGCTAATGCTACGTATCCCACAATCTTGCACCAATTTGTCACGATACCCACATGCCTCCTGTTTAATTATTCCCTCACAAAGGGGCACGTTACATTCTCTTTTCGTTGCCATTGGTGGATGACTTCAATCCACAAATGACGTTATATCAGAACACTTGTCTTGTGAACAGAAACAGAACGTATTTATTCAAGTGAATAACAACAGAAGTTTCTCAGATACACATTATACATAAGCAAATCATCAACAGTTCTCTCAGTATATGCTTCTTGTCTCTTGCAATCCCATTACCACCCTCACTACCTATATCTGTAACCAGCTCTATCTCTGACTAACCCTATCTATCTGACTAACCAGCCCTATCTGACTCCTCCTTCTCTAGCCAAGCCTCCTGTAGCTGCTGAGTCCCCCTCTCCAGCCCTCCCATAGGTTCATGCAAATCAGCTAATGAAGATGAGTGACACAAGTAACATGGGCAGTCGCCACAATAGTTTTCACTTTGGTTCCTTTAGCGATGGAACCTCATGTCTGGGCAGCATAGTCGTTCGTGTGCAGGGGCAGAGCCCCACCCAACAGGGCTGAAAATTAGAACGTTGGTGTCTGTTATTTGTAAAATACGTATATAAGTGTATTATATATGATGGCTACATGCAGCATACTATGAATAATAAAAAATGAGATTTCAACTTCAGTCTCAATTTTTGCACTAGACTCTAAAAAAAAAAGGAGGAAAGTGTGCTGCTTATATACCACCTCATAGTGCTTAAAGCACTCTGGGCAGTTTTCAGTTTAATTATACAGGCTACAACTTGCCTCCCTCCCCCAGCAAGCTGGGTACTCATTTTACTAACTTCAGAAGGATGGAAATCTGAGTGAACCTCAAGCCGGCTGCCAGAATCTGATGGGATTGAACACTGGCTGTGAACAGAGTTTTGATTGTAAAATTAGAGTTTAACCACTGCAACATGAGGATCCTTGAGAGCCATTTATCTCATTCCACTTCCCTTCTGTTTATAACTGAAATCTCAAAACCTAGTTGTGACGATCACCCTATGTCACTCCTGTCACTCATATTTAGGAGCTCATTTACCTGAGCCTATGAGAGGAGTGGAGAGGCAGAGTCAGTGGATATAAGAAGGTGGCAGAGAGAGGCGATAGAGGTTGCAGTGTGTGAGAGATAGTCAGGGAGATAGTGAGAAAATATACTAATAAAGATAAGCTGGTCAAGGTTAAGAGATAGAGCAGGTGGTGATTATGTGGGAAGATATATATTTTACTGATTAAAATAAAGAACATCTGTGATTCTGATTAAAGTTAATATATTTCAATAAATAAGTTCTGTTGGCGGTAACCAGACAAGTGTCTGACTAAAGTTCTTTATATATTGTGGATAAAGGAAATCCACTGGTGGCAGTGAAGGGGGAACATCGCAATTGGTATCTGCTGGTGGGATGACCTAGCATGAGCCCTTTGTTTGGGGAAACAAACAGGGGCCACATGGTAGTCACACTAGTATCTCTCTTATGTTTCATCATACTGTCTCAATGATGTCATAGAGCTGAAGCATTTATTCCACAATCTTCTCACCAAGACTGTGCCTCAAGTATAAAGCTTAAGTGCCACTTTGGTTCTTATGGAGCAAATAATGTTTGGGCATTCAATTCTCTCATTTTTTAAAAAATTAAAGAGTTTCTTCTCCAGTTTGTAATGAAATAAACTACGGGGAGAAAACTATATTCCTCCACACATAACCCTGGTCAAATCAGATAAATCTTGCCTTTTTGGATGGCAGCTCTTGAAATCCTATTAAAAACATGCTGCAATTTGGAAAGTGGTAATTTGAAAAGCAATGTTTCCTATTACTTGGCCAGATGTTATTTTGGTTTATTCATTTTAAGTTGCGTCTTAGCTGAAATACTTTAGTTAAACTATCACGTACAACAATTGTCATTCGTTTTTGGAATAATGGTGATTATTGCAGTCCAACTTGAAATTATGCTTTTTCAAATACTGTACATTAAAACCAGGTGCAGAATTTCAAGAACTAAGGTCTTTTGAGAAACCAGGATAACCTCTTTCCAGAAGATTGCTGAGAAATTTCAAACTCACAACTCCCTCTTTTAAAAAAAGAATTGAATATGCATGGACAAAGTAATTGACACAGACAGAAACAATTTTGCGGCTTCAGGTTTTAATGAAAGACTGTTCCTCTGTGATCCTCCTTCAGCATCTTGGAACATCATTTTGCCTGGCTTTGCTGGAGCAGCGATTTGTTCACGTGGGAGACATCATTTTGTTGTTAGTTGACATTTCCCAAAACTGCTGCACATTAGGAGGTTCAACAAGGGCTATTTCACCTTCCTGTAGTAGTACACAGTGTGAGCTACGGATGCTGTGGGAAGAAAAACACAAAATATTTTAAGATTTTTTTCTTTCTTCCTCCATAAACATTTAACATTTATTTAGAACTTAGCAAGAAAATCATCAGAGAGTGGCATATCCAAGGCCAGCATGTCTCTTTTCCTAATCACAAAATACAATGCTTATTTCTTCAGAATTTATGAGTACTGGCCTTTACCTTTCCTGCCCTTTCCCCTCCTTCCTCTTCTCTGAACTCTAGAACCCCGTCGTTGTTTATGTCTTCTGCGACTAGAAGGTTTACAGCTACATCGCGTCATTTTCTTGGGGTTCTGGTGATGCTAAAAGCTCAGGAGAAGGCCAAGAGGAACATGTCTTTTTGTGAAGCTGATGCAATGCTGTCTTTCAGGATGGTTTCTGAGTTTCTGAAGCTAGGCTACCTGTTGCACCTCTACTTAAAGGGTCTGGCTATTATGAGCTCATATAGTTGATATAGCAACCTTTGTGACTTAAAAACGATCATATATAGGAGGAGGCAATAAGCTGGTAATGAAATTACCTTAATCAAATGCCCCATAATCATAATAGATTTGTATTTGACACTCATGTATTTTCTTGGAACGCAACATAAATCAAATAAAAATGGAAAGGAATCAAATTTACTGGAAGAGAAAAGGAATAAGTCTCAAACTAAAGTGCCTCATGGTTCTCAGGCCCATACTGAGAAGTGAGGGGGCATCTATTTTATATGACATTGTTACACAAAAATACCACAAATAAACATCACACTCAATTTTATTTTATTTAAAACATGTACTAGTTTCTTTTCAACTACTTAAGTTCTCCAAGATGCTCATTTAAAAAAGCATAACTTTTAGCAGTACAGTATCGGGTAGAATGGCTAACTGTTAACTCTTATGTACCAAGACAGGCTATTTCAGTCTCATGGAGTCATTATCTTGTTGCAAAATCCACACACAAATAAATTTACAATTATGGCAGGCTGCAGGGTTATCATCTAAGTGACACAAGTGGAGTGTGTCTCCTGCTGGATTTTTTGTTTAGTTTTGTTGTTATTTTTGGTTTTTGTTTGTTTGTTTTTGAGAACCATGTTGCATAAAAAGCAGATGGCTTGAATTCTGGTTGTCACAGGATTAGATTCACTTGGAGGGACACTGCATTTCCTAGCATATTCATAAAGTATTCTCCAACCAAAAGGCTGGAGAATACTGGGAGAAATAATCCAAAGAGTAACTTTTCTGTACTTGGATCGAACTGTTAGAGGGGAGAACCATACAACACCAAGCACACCTCTACACCTCCATCCTGGATATTAACCAATCCATTTCTAAATTTGTCTCTGAAGGGTTTGGGAGATACTGAAGCTTGCAGGGTGGAGTTGCGTTCCAAGACCCTTCTAACACCAAGGAACAACTCTGAATGTTCAGGCGGCCTGCTTTCTAGAGCAATGCTATCAACAAAAATGTAAATATGCTATAACATGAGGCTAAGGGTTGGTGAGATAAGCAGTGCTCATTAAAGAAAGCTTTTTGTTTTAAACCATTATTTCACATCTAATTACTCTAATTGGATTACTGTGTTCCACCTGGGGCAGTTTTTGAAGATTGTTCAGCAGCTTCAGCAGGTCATCCAGGCTGTGGTAACCAGATTTACTATACAGAAATGTCAGCAATATGTTTTTCCTCTGTTGAAATAATCAAAAGTAATACCTGATTTGTTTCTATGGTCAATTTCAGACTGTTGGTTATTACCATTGATGTCCCATATAGTTAAGAAACAAGATTCCTGAAGAAATCCTTATTTTTTTATTTGCTCATTAGGAGTCAGTTTAGAAATTAAAAGGAAATCCATATCACATAATATCAACTAATTTTCGTTCCTACATTGAATTTCTTCAGATATGTGTTCTTCAGCAAACTTTCACGTTAAACTCCTGCTCAGTTTCCAATGACCAATGAGATCACAGGCTGAAACAAAGCTTAATAACTGCAAGATACATAGAACAGAAAATAATGTGCTATAATTAGCACATCTTTCATGTTGGATAATGCCATGACAACAAATATGAGAAATGTACAATCTAGTGTAATTTGAAAGGTTAAACCAGATGTGATGAGGAATATGTATTCCTTGTGCCTTACACATTTTCCCTTTCATAACAGAATTTCCTCAAAGCTACATGCTTCAGGAATCTGATTTGCTAATTAAACCTTTGTTTACCTTCCAGTGACCATGAACATATTGATTGATCTGACTCAAAGATAATCAATAGAATGTGTCTTAGCTTAGTCTGAGGCCAAAACTGCACACTGCAGAAAAACTAGTTGGAATTTTCAGTGGTACCTGTTACACATAATACAAGCCCTACTGTGATTTTATAAATGGTGCCCAATCATCACTCAAACCTATTATTCACTCCATGGACAACCTTGATGTTATTTCTACTAGTTGCAAATGAAAGAGAGCACTCTAATTGTGACAGTGGAACTCCAACTGGCCATAAAAGCTGACATTTTAGTCTGAGGCTTGATCCCCAGTTGCTTTAATGTATACTAATGCATGTTAAAAGAGGGTATGTGTTGCGAGCGGGTCATGTCTGTTTGGAACTAGTCTGAAGCTGCTGATTATTGCATATTTGGAATTCTGGCCTTTGCCATTTTTGTCTAGAAACAGGATGCTGGCCTTCTCTATAGCTGTACTTGTGCCCTAGAACTCCCTGCCTCAGGAGATCCAACATTCTCCTTCCTTGATGGGTGTCCATTCCTTGTTGGGTGTCCATGATCTATCTCTTTCTTTCTTTCTCTCCTTCTTTCTTTTTTCTTTCCTTCCTTCGTTCTTTCCTTCCTTCTTTCTTTCTTCCTTCCTTTCTTTCTTTCCTTCTTTCCTTCCTTCCTTCCTTCTTACTTACTTTCCTTCCTTCCTATTTACTTACTTAAAAAGCTTTAAGCCCATAGTTAGGGCCTTCATAGCAGAAGATTTCAAATATCCATGGGGCATTGCATTTTATTCTTGTTGTCAGTCTTAACTGATTTTTAAATGATGTTTTAGTGATGAGCTGCTTAGATCTGGATTTATAGTTTGATTTTATTAATACTATTGTTAAATCATTTTATTTTAGCTGTCATCAGTCATGGTTGTTTTATGAAGTTGTGCTTTGAATCCAAATATGGTCATAACTTCCTTACCCTGTAGGGGTCTTTCTTATATGATCACATCACAGAAGCATTCATTGTGACCATTCTCTGACATAGAGACAGGTTTGCCTATAAATAGGGCAGGACCACCACTTGAAGTCTCAGGCTCCCCAAGGCAGATGATGCTCCCACTGCTACAAGCTTGAAAAAGAAAAGCAACATCAAATGGCAAGTTTCAAACGCAGCAGAAGCTGGAGCCTGACTCGTCAACGCCGTAGGCGGCGACGGAAGAGCCAAGCAAGTGGATCTGGAAGGAGGCGGAGAAGACGACACCATGGCAGGAGAAAAGGTACCAAACATTTACCATATGCAACATACATCTATGGGCATTTAGACCTCAGTCCTATACGTATTTATCCATGCAGTTTGGGGAAGTCTTAAAGCTATGTACCTTCTAACAATTTACTGGAACTTGAGATTATATTAAGTAAAAGTATTGTTTTTTTTCCAGGCCGTAAGTCTCGTGGCCGGAGAAGACGGCGAAGGAGACATCATTAACCTCTTCCATCTCCATGGTGTTCTGTGCCCTTGATTTCAAATGCCATCAGCCTAACAGAAGCTTTGCTTAATAAAAGAAATGGAACAACTTTGAGAACATCTAACACAACTTCCTGAGATTCAAGGAGCCTGCAACCATTTGAACAATGTCACCTGTCAATAAAATGCTGAAATTTCATTCTTGTGCTTTTCTCTCATGCTTTCTTAGGTGAGAATAGTGGGTTCTCCAGATAACTGGTGGATAAATATTTAGGCTGCAGTGAAGGGCACTGGGATGAATGGCTGTTGGTTATCAATGAGTGGTATTGGCACTGGTAGCTCAGAAGAAACAAGGAAGCAGTGGAGAAATATCATGAAATATGGCTAAACACTGTTTAGGAATCTCTAGTTTGAAGTCTGTATTGGGCTGAAACTTTCAGTGAATTCCATGAGTCCCAGTCTTGTACATTGTACAGATCAGCAAAAAAAAATACCTGCACATAATCTGAAAAGAATTGTAGAGATGATTAAATATAAAGAAAAAATGGAAAGCAATTGCTGATCAAAAGCACAATCCTACCCGGCTAAAATGACCAGATAGCCTAGATCAGTGGTTCCCAAACTTGAATAAGTGGATCTAGAGGGTAGCCAACAAAGAACTAAAGTGAATGAATGGAGACCAAGAAAGCATGAAACATGTTACATACTGAAAACCAAACTATTTTAGTCATGTAATTAATCAAAGGCTAAGTACTGTAAATGACTATGGTGGGAAATACCTTATGAAAACTGGATGAATATTGTTACTGTTCAGAGCTCCTGCATCCAAAGTCTCTAACCATGACACCACCCAATATCCAGTAAGAGAAGGACCACAACAGGGAGAAGAATCTGAAGTTCAGTCCATCTGTTGAGATTTTATTTAATTTGATGCATCTTAATAGGTATCTTTCAATGAAAAACATGGGGTCAGTTTAAGGTGAGAAACTTGTTAGAAGACAAAAGGACGATTATGTTAACATTATGAAAAGTGGGAGTCAAGATTGTTCCCTCATAATGATTCCCCCGAGCAAGCACTCAGAAGACTGGATGACAACCATTTTATATTACTGTAATAACAGAAGCCTGGTTAGAAAATAACTTCTTGTGCTCTTGTTTTATTGGTCAAATTTTACACCACACAAGTAGGATGGTGTCATCATCCCATAGTGGGAATATTTAATTTGAATTAACTGAAAGCTTCCGAGGCTCTTTAGGGCTCTCTTTTGCCCCAAGGAATACTTTGGGAGCCTTACGAGAGAAGGCTTTCATAGCAAAACAAACAACCCCCCTACAAAACCCACATTATCACCAGTGGTCCGAGTCCCAACAGTGGTGATCCAGAAGAAATGTTAGCCAAGGCCATCCCAAGGCTCTCAAAGCCTTCCTTGGGACAAGCGGGAGTCAGTCCTAGGTAGCCTTGGAACCTGAAAGGGGATAATAGAAATCTTTCAAATAACTACATTGATTATTCCCATCAAGGGGTGATAAAAGTAAAACTGCACAAGAGGATTCTGGGCACTGCCTCTAACAACTTAGAATGCAGAAAGTGTGCTTTGGAAAATCAAGTACTTTTCTTATAAAACTATTCTACAGTATCAGCCAACTGTGTAGACTACATGTGTTTGAATTATAAAGGTCACAACTAACAGTAGTGCACATCTGATCCATGCCTGGCATGAGCACTCTTGGGATGTCATATTACTAGAAACTCAACATACTGACCTGAAAAATATCAAAGTGCAAAAAGCATGACAAAAGAATCCTTCATAATTTTATACTCTCTTTGTAGTCTTTGAGGATTTGTATTTTATTACCTTTTATGTTAATGTCTGTCTCTAGCCTACCAAAAAATATACCACTGATATGTGAGCCATGTTCCTGTCAACACAACTGCACAGCCCTCTCTCTGCTTCAGCTGGAAACACAAATGAGTACAGCTGGGTGCCAGAAAAGGATGAGGTTTTGACAATGGAAGCATCGAGAGAAGCCAGCAGTCATTACCGTACCAAGACATTTTGCTTCCTGAAGCAGAGCCCAAATTCTACCCCTCCAAGTCTATCAATGGGCAACACTTCAATGTGTTTTTCCTGAATTGTGGGTGGGCCAGTTCTAAGAATTGCTGGGATAGGTTATAACCACAGTCATTAGGCTCATGATCAGTGTCCAGTGTGGAAACCAGGTCAACCACCAGCCAATTAGTCCTGAAGGTCAGTATTCACATAAGAATATAGTTCTGCTCATTTTGTCTGAATATCTGGCAGGCTTTTGATTAAACATAAAATTATTTGAGTCATTTTAATGCAGACAGAAATAGAAAAATGAAACTCCATCATGATTTGTCACTTCCATTGGGTTTTAAGAAAATTGTAGAAAACCCTTGGGATCCTAGGCTGATGTACCCATTTTTTAAAAATACAATATATTAACTGTACAATTACAAGAGATACAAAAGTTCTTCAGCCAACAAACTAAACCCCCATCTACCTAAAACAATGTTTTGGTGATTTGCAAATTGGTGTGGAATGCTGGTTAGAGAGCTGGACTGAGGATTTGTGAGAACCATCAAATGCCCAATGAGTCATGAAACTTGCTGAGTGACCTTGGGCCATTACATTTTTTCTGCAAAAGGAAGTCAACCTCACAGAGCTGTAAGGATAAAGTACTGAAGAGGAGAGTTGTGTATGCTACCATGAATAACTCCAGGAAAGAAATAAATGGATGAACAGATGGATGTACTGATGCACTTATTACTGCAAGTGTACTTCTTGTGAGTTGCCTTCAACAATGGTTCAGAATATGCAGCTTCCACACACTTGTTGAGAAGGAAAGGCTACAGGAAAAATATTACTGCTCTTACGGCTGGTTTCTGCTGGCTGTAGAGATGCTTCTGGGTTAAAAACACTGGTGATTATCTTTAAAACCCAAGATAATCTGATACACTTCAGAGTGCTTCCTTCTGTATGTTCCTCTCCATTCCCTCAGTTTGCACAGGAGCTGCTATTTTGTGTCTTGCTTATTACAGTGACGGAGACGTCAGTATACGGAATTTCCAGTTCCACATTTTGGCACACTTCAGATGGTTTCCTGATCTACTGGTCTCTTCTGCTCACATTTGGACAATGCATCAAAACATTTCCCTTTTTGGAAAATATCTGATGCTGGCAGTAAGTAATTAGACTATAGTTTTAAACTTTTTCATCCTGTAGTTGTCTTTCAGGTAATGCAAGTGGCTATTCTAAGAAAAGTTGTAAGTTTCACCTAATATTTTAAATCACTAGCAATATTCAGGCAATGTATGTGCATACTCCACAAGCAAGTAGGGAAGCATGCTAGTCCCACATTTCTCCATCACTACTTGAAACAGACAAAAGTAACTGTCTGGACAGAAAGAGGCTGCCATATTTATGTACACTGTAAACTGCCCCCCCTCCCCGGCTTATGTGTAGAACCTACATGGGACATAGAACACAGAACTCGCCCCACTTCTAACTGTCATGTGTTGAAAGCAAGGATGGGGGAGCTAAACTCAACTTTTATCATGTGTATTGTATACATGCTATATCAGGTTGGAAACATGTACGTATGCACTTTTTAATGAATGCCATGCCGTCAGCTTAGTGGGAGCGATGAGGACAGAAAGTGCATAAAGCTTCCTGTATTTACAAACCCATTGTTTTTAAAATGGCTTATCATATCAAGGTGATAACATGCTGACCTCATAAGGGAAGACGTTTCTGCCACTCAACAGCAACAGAGGTGATACTTCTATTAGGCCACTTTAAAAATCACAAATAAATGCCAGCTTTTGGGCCCTAGAGACCTTTATCATGCTGGGCACTACTCATTAATGGATGGTGCACAAAAAAAATGCAAACGTTCCAAAATCCATGGCTCATTGTTTATGCCAGGTAACAAAACTCAAGCCAGCAGTGCTGGTTTTAAATTTAATCTCTAGCAATTTTGATTGAATTGCCCCCAAATCACCAGGCAGCATTCTGTGTATACAGATATACATGATATAGAAATTTTAACATAACTGCATTATAGCAGTGGATTTCATCCAGCCTCACTACAATTACTGTCATTTTTATCGGTTTTGAGGAGGAGGCAAGAGGTCTTCTTGCTTAGTGTTGCTGTGAATGATGTCATAATATTTCATTTATGATGTCACTGACTTCACAATAAAGCCTGTTACTTGCATACTGGTAGAAGAGTTTATATCTCATTGGTGCCACCACTGGTGTCTGGTAAGTTTTATGAAATGACAGGTTATTAAAATATAGGAAAGCTATAAAAGATACCTGAGGATCAAGATAGGCAAGATTCTATGAGAATCTATAGTCATATAACTTAAAATGTTACTAGTTTTTATTTGAAAGCAACCATCTGTATGTTTTCATTGTGAGCTAGATAACTGCTTGTGGAAGGGAGATTTATATCAGGAGAATATCCCAATGGAAATTCTGCAGGGTCAACCCTAATGTGACTCTTCCTCTGAGATTGCTGGTCTTCACCATAAAGTAGGAAAGCCAACCAGTGATCTCCCAGTGTGGTCCTAACTTATTGCGTTTTTCTGCTATTCTGAACATGCAAAAATGCAAAGAACCTCTTTAATATCAGAAGTAGATAGGTGTGGGAGGGAATTACAAGGCTTAAGAGGGAATCCATATAATATTACTTCCAATTTACTCATGTTTATATCTATGATGTATTGTGATTCTAATATTGTAAAAGTATATTGTTGTGTGTTTATTTGAACTGTATAGAATAACATCAACCATCATAACAGATTATGACCAACTGAATACTTTGTTCTACCTGACGCTGAAAACTTAAAAACGAATGATGGTGCGGCAAGTACGCCGGTACAGCAGAAATGAGAGAGCACTTCGCCTGAGGCGATTAAGACGAAGGAGGAAAAGTGCTAGAAGACTCAATAGGAGGCAGAAGAGAGGTTTTAAAAAAATTATTAATCGGATTATTGCAAAAGGCCCCCGAACAGTACAATCTTATGCACTTTTGATCAAGAATAAGGCCCATTTGGTTCCCATGTTCATATGTACAGGATTGCAAAGGAGAAATGCTGACAACAAATCATCCAGAGAAAAAACCTAAGGAGCATTATTTAAAAATAAGAAGCATCTTTTAGCCATTATGCACACAGCTGTATGCAGTTAGGATATTAATCATTATATCTAGACAACAGTATATTTATTGCTCACTGAAAGTATCAGGGAAGTCAATCTTTACTTAAATTTTGTTCTCTTCAGTAAAAACAATTATATTATAGCATCTTAGAGACAAATACATTTTGGAAGTGTGGCATAAGCAATCATAGACTGCAACACACTTTAATGGACAGCAAACTTGAGTTCCTTAACCTGAATTCAACTCAAGAAAGTATAGGCTGCATGACAAATTCCCCTTAAAAAACATGTTTCTCATAATCTAATCTTGCTTATGTACAAGAGCAAAAATTTTGGACCCTTCTGGGAATTCTGAACTCTTTGTCTTGCTGGAATTTGTTATTCCCCTCACCTACATGAACCCTAAAATAGCACTGCTATAAAAACCTTGCAAAGAAAAAGCATACACATATCATGTGATTTCAAGTATTCTGTAGACATCTCACTGTGCAAGTATCCTAAGAAAAAAAGAGATCTAGGTTTGGAGAAGTTGGCACAAGCCGGGGGAAAGGGGCATTTCCAGAAACACATGTCCTTCATGGATCTCTCTGTATTTGGTGGGGGCCCTCTGTATCCCTCCTGATGGGGCTGCACAGAAATCCCCATCTTTCTTTACCACCGGGTCTGTTGATTAGGCTGATGGGACTTGTAGTCCAACAGCATCTAGAAGGCCACAAGTGACCCACCTCTGTCATAAGCTACCTGAAGGTTGGGAGCAGGAATGCTTATTTGGTTCAGGCCACAGAAGGTCCTTTGTTGGAGCTTCTTTCTGGTCGCAAGTTGGTCAAAGTAAGATTTTCAGTGCTTGGTAAATCTCTGCTGAAAGGGACAGAATTATGAAATGAGCTTATAGTATGGTGATGGAGCAAGGGAAAGCAAACCAAAACTTGAGGTTTCATTTCTTATCTTTGTCTACATTTATTTTTTTCCTGTTGTTCCTTAATACAGGCAGACGCCAATCCCATTACCGCAGGAGCTCATTGTCACCCTAGCTACTTTCACTTCCTGAAGTAGGACAGCTGCGGCTCACATAAACAAATATGTTGGGAGATCAGGACCATGGCAGAGAAACATGACACATCAAGCAGCTGCAAGCATTAGTGCCAAGCAATAAACCATCTGAGTACCGCTCAGACTGCTTTTTGTCTTCTTATGAATGATACTGTTGTGTGATTCTAGTTACTCTAGGGCTTGGATGGGGTTGGGGGGAGTAGACTACAGTTCCCAGAATTCCCCATGGCCACTGTGTATGGTGGCTGGTACATTCTGGGAATTGTAATTAAAACAAAAACAAAACAAAAAGTTTTTCAAGCTTGGATTATTGTAGGTGGGACTATTATCATGGATTTACCTACAGCAAGTCTGAAAAGGGTCTGTGATTTGACAAAAGAATACCCAGAGGTTTTAGAGGTCAGCCAAAAAGACAAAGTCTCAAGGAAGCAATGACAAAAGGTTTGGAATGATAAATTTTGGAATGCAGACACCACTCATCAGAATACTGTAGTTCCCATAGCCACACATCCCGGGGAGAATGAAGGTAAACTGTAGTAATATGCATTGTACAATTCTAGCATTTTAACCTGAATTTTCCATTCAAAACCAAGCCAGCCCAAACGCTTTGCATTATAACAATAAGGAAACTTGACAACAATAGCAAATCCATATATAATCTCACTATCATACAGCTGCAATGAAGATCCCAGGTGAAGTCAGAGTAAAACTTGGAAGTAGTTAGTTACAAGTCATGTTGTTACTTTAATGAGTTGAATATCTGAATAGCAAATGTGTGATGAAGACATATTTTAAAAACAACATAACAAGGAACATTTCTAACAGAGATGAAGAATTACATTATTGGTATGAGTAAAGTATCCAATTTACTTTCAAATATACTTTAAAAGGGCATGTTAAAGAGTTTTTAGAGGCATTTTGAGAAGATTTTTTCCAGGTGGTATGCCATTCTTTTATCAGTCCTCAGGTGTTTCTTTTTAAAAATAACTTGCAAACTAATAATGCAATGAATAATTTCTTTAATATCACAATAAGAACAATTACGTCAAACACTACAGCAGATAACCAGTAACAGAAGAAGAACCAATTACTAATAGAATAAAATCTTCTTTTCACTTTGTTTTGCTTTTGATGTCAAGGAACTGCAAAATTATTCTCCTCACCCCATGGGACATGAGAGTATTCTCAGGTATTCCTCATAAGAAAACAGAAAAAGGATGCAGATTCTGCACAAATTAAATTAAGCAAAATGGTAGAAAGAATGCTTTAAAGCAAATTATTTTTAATACAAATTATACAAAATGATAATGTGTTGTTGCTTTGTTGCATTGAATTTTAAGGATTAGAAACATTGGAGGGAGTTTTTCTATCTTTACCAACCAGTCCTTCTGTACTTGATTTTGTGTGTGTGTGTGTGTGTGTGTGTGTGTGTGTGTGTTTGTGTCTGAGAGAGAGAGAGAGAGAGAGAGTCTGTGTGTATACATCTGTGCTCCTTTTAGTTTCAAGGACCCCTGAAGAAGAGTTTTATTGTATTTTACATAGCACAAAAAGGATCCAGGTTATTTCATCTATGTCCCGAATTTCAAAAATAGCCCATGTCACTAAGGGGGAAATTGATTTTTCATAAATAATGGAAATTATTAATTATTGTACTTAATCCATTGCTATCTGATACTTGGACTGAGGTATCTATCCACAGAGATCTGTTCTACAAAAGGCTGCTGCAGAAGATTAGGTATGCAGACTGCCATCATCTTCAACTTTGACAATATCTGTTATCTTTTACAAACAGAAGCCACAGCAATTGGTGGTATACAGTCATTTGTCAAGATTCAACCTTCTATCAGATTCCTTCATCAACCTAATATGATCTTGGTGGAGGACTTCTATGACATCACTTTTTTTCTGAAACCTATGTTTGAGCTTATGGATCGGTTTGAACATGTTTTTATGTGTAATCTGGTGAGAAAGACCGGACTACCTATAAACATGTTTGAACCTGCTTATGGGTTAAAATGTAGGTTGCAGAGAAAGTGTGGAATGTCATAGAAATCCTCATCCTAAATTAAGCTCCACAAGTGTCTTTTGTATTTCCCAGTCCATGGACTGGGGCCACATAGCAAATGATGCCTGAATGGTCAGCTTTCTATAGTCTGTGAGCCATGATTCTAGGGAGCTGCATAAACTGGAAAAACTGAATATCCAGCATGGCTAGGTGCAGAAATCCAGCATCTGAATAATAGACAACAGTGAATGATTACTAATAATAGTTGAGAAATAGAAAGGAGTAGGGGAATTCTTTCTCATTTGGACCAATGCTGGCACTTCAGTGCCATAAAGCAGGGTAGCAAACCTGGGATAATTCAGATGTTGTTGGATTCCCAGCCCCCTTCACCTAGGCAGTCCCAACAAGAACAAATGATGGTCAGAAATAATGGGCTATGGGTTTCCTATTCTTGTCATGAGGTGATACTTTTGGCCTTTATTATGGCAATAATTGCCACTGTGGCTCTTGATCAAGCAAGTTGGAAGGAAAGAAGGCTGTGTGAATAAAACAAATTATTGAGTAGACAATAGATTCCTTCATCCCAGTTAGTGATTCTCCCTTGTGGAAATGTTCTATCAGATTTTTGCCTCCGGTAAGAATCCCAAGGCACTGGCCAGTTTAAACACAGCCAAGAGAGATGTTGACTTGAAAACAATAAACCAAGGATTGTGACAAGCATTCATCAGTTTTCCCACCACCACCTACATGTCAATGACTATATATGGTCATGTCTCAGCAGACAAAGGGCCCCTGTAACAGTATGCCACTGTTACAAATTTTATAAAAGGAGGAGAGCAGACATAACGACTGCAGAAACTCACAGAACATCTGGGTGTGGACAGTCTGGCTGCCCAAGCCAAGAGAGGATGCCTCTGCTCCTGGGATCTTGAAACAAGCAAAGAAGATGGCAAGGCACAGATCCTGCAAGGACTCTGACCGGAAGGTGCCTCCCAGCAGGAGGAATAAAAAATGCAGGGTCGTCTATGACATGCCACTAAAGAAAAAGAAAGGTGAACTATTCTCCCTATGTGCTTTTTTATGCTGGGTGGGGGTATCTTATGCTTGGCAAAGAATCCAGGCAGGAGCCCATTCTGTTTTAATAAGGACAAAGGAATTCTGCCATACCATTCCAATGATATTATACTCAGTATCTTGTGTCTACTGTTATGTTTTGAACAGGGTATGTACGTGTCTGTGCCACATACTACTACTGGAGAGGAGGGAAAAAGTAATTTCCAGGGATTTCTCCTGCTTGGAAATTCTATCTTTGACATCACACAATCACCTCCAGGCATCTTCTATGACAAGGAAGCTCGGCAAATAAGACATCAATGAGCTGAGAGAAGATGGCAAGATCCAGGAGCTCTCCTATTACAGCAGCAATGGCTCAACCTCTCTGACTGTTAATAAACTCATATAAAAAAGCATTTGTCTGTGTTTTATGTAAATACACACATACACACACATTGCGTTCTGATGACACCCTAAATATTTCATTCTTTGAGCTCTGATACGTCACAGTGCATTTAACTGAGCCATTAAATGCAATAGTGACACTTGCTTCAAAGGAAAACTCAGAAGAATCAACTTGTGTAAACAAGGAAGGCCATATGAACACATTTCCCCAGATGAGTCATTTTAGAAGAACAAGAATGAAAGAAAAACAGACACATGTAATTATTTCATAACCTATTGCATAAGAATATAATCATCTAGAGATCTGAGTCCTCATTGCTAGATGTTCATGTAAGAAACCTTTGGGTGGTATTAAGAGCTGCTGAAAAACCAGCTATTTTATATACTCTTGCCTTATAAACACAAGCTGAGAGACAAAAGGACTGAATGGGAACCTCATCATAAACAGCACTCCTTAGGACACTGGCAGTAAACTGGGGGACAAATATGTTAAGCAGTTGTCCCCAAAGTGCTATTATTAAAAGTTTTTATCCTGCCTTTCTCCTTAAAAAGAACCCAAGGCATGTTACATCAGAAGACAATATTTAAAAGCTACAAATATTAAGTATACAAATATTACAAAAGAAACAAAAATACCACACTAAAACTAAACAAAATGAGCACCAAAACCACAAAGCAACAAGGCAAAACAATCCATTTATAAAACTCTCAGTCACTAAGGGAAAGCCTTCAGGACAGCAAAGATAGTGCCAACCTGGCCTCCAATGGGAGGGAGCTCCAGAGTCTGAGAGTGGTTGCAGAGAAGGCCGTCTCCTACATCCCCACCAAACATACCTGTGAAGGTGGAGGGACCAAGAGAAAGGCATTCTTTCATGATCTTTACACCCAGGCAGGCTCATAAAGGGAGACACCGTTCTTGAAATAGCTTGGACCCAAGCCATTTAGGGCTTTATAGGTTAAAATCAGCTATTAGGACTTGTGCTTATTTTTAAAATATAGCCTCATGTGTCTCTTTCCACATATGCCAATGTTGTCCCTATCTTCAAAAAGGGCAAAAAAGAGGAACCTGGGAACGACAGGCCAATCAACCTGATGTCAATCCCAAGCAAAATTCTGAAACAGATTATAAAGCGGTCATTTTGCAAGCACCTAGAAAACAATATAGTAATAACTAGAAGCCAACACAGATTTGTCAAGAATAAATCCTGCCAAACTAATTTGATCTCATTTTTGGATCAGGTAACTTCCCTGATAGACAGAGGGAATGCTGTAGACGTAGTACATCTTGACTTCAGCAAAGCTTTTGACAAAGTGCCCCATGATATCCTGATTAGCAAGCTAACTAGGTGCAGGCTAGATAGATCAAGGATCAGGTGGATACACAATTTGCTACAGAATCATACTCAGAGGGTAAGGATTAATGGGAGGAGGTAACTAGTGGGGTACCCCAAAGCTAAGTCCTGGGCCCGATGCTCTTCAATAGACTTGGATGAGGGAATGCATGGAATGCTTCTCAAATTTGCAGATAATACCAAATTGGGCGGAATAGCAAATACCCTAGAAGACAGAAACAAAATTCAAAATGGCTTTGATAGGATGGAACACTGGGCTGAATGCAACAGAATGAAATTCAACAGGGATAAGTGCAAAGTACTGCACCTCAGAAAAAGAAACCAATTGCACAGTTACAAGACAGGGGACATCTGGCTCAGCAAAACTACAAGCAAGACGGACCTTGGAATTGTCGTAGATCACAAGCTAAATATGAGCCAACGGTGTGATGTGGCTACAAAGAAGGCAAATGCTATTTTAGGCTGCATTAACAGAATTATAGTTTCCAAATCACAGAAGGTACTACTTCCTCTCTATTCAGCATTGGTTAGGCCTCACCTTGAGTAATTGTGTCTAGTTCTGGACACCACACTTCAAGAAGGATGCTAATAAATTGGAACAAATTCAGAGGAGGGCAACAAGGATGATCAGGAGACTGGAAACCAAGCCCTGTGAGGAAAGACAGAAAGAATTGGGCATGTTTAGCCTTGAGAAAAGAAGGCTGAGGGGTGATATGATAGCACTTTTCAAATATCTGAAAGGCTGTCATACACAGGAGGGGCAAGATCTTTTCTCAATCATCCCAGAGCGCAGGAAACGCAACTATGGGCTCAAGTTAAAGGAAGCCAGATTTCGGTTGAATATCAGGAAAAGCTTCCTCACTGTTAGAGCAGTACGACAGTGGAACCAGTTACCTCAGGAGCTGGTGAGTGCTCCAACACTGGAGGCATTCAAGAAAAACTTAGATAATTACCTGGCAGATATCCTTTGATTGTATTCCTGCATTGAGCAGCGGGTTGGGCTTGATGGCCTTGCAGGCCCCTTCCAACTTCACTTTTCTATGATTCTATATGTGCCCAAATCTCTAGACCAGTGGCACTGTTTAGAGATTTGGGAACATAATATATATATTAGAGATTGTCCCACTTGCTACCTCTCAGTATGGCTTCCAACTCAGTGTCAGCTTAGCCCATTCGGCATGTCTCACTGTTTGGTCTTCAAAATCAGCTTGTGTGTCAAATATGCCACCTTCCAATTCGGCCAATCTGAACATCTCTGTTGCCCAAGTCTCCTTTTCTTCAAGAGACTGCTGCTCTTTCCACAGTCTTGGCCACAAGATGCAAAAAGTGGTTCCATGCAGATTCCACTGTCTTTACTTGTGTGGCTCACTCCACTGTCATTTAATTTAAACATGATGATGGTATTGGGACTTGCTGAAGCAGCTTCAGGTAGACTGGTCTCTTTGTTCCACATATAGTCTTGGATATTTGCCTGGAGGATGATGCAATAATTGGTGAGGAATGTAGCTGGCATATTGGAGGCTGCCTTGCAGACGCTACAGAACCTGTTGAGGTTACAGTAGCTCACACCCCTGTTCTAAAAAGTAGTCTCATGCTCAAGTTACACATTACAATGAAAATCTGTTTCTTTATGTCTTCCAATTTCTATTCTACTATTCCTCTGATGTGGTTAGAGTGGCTTCCATATAAATCCCAGGAATTCAGGCAAAGCCCCATCATAAGGGAAAGTAACTTTGGACAGCATACTCAGAGTGTTATGAATCGGCAAAAACCTAATCATTCTTTCATTTGTTATTATTACATTTTAGTGCCAAGAAGTGCTTGTGGGCTTTTTCAGCCCTATGGCAAAATAATGATTGGTTTGGGGAACCATGTACTGTACTTTGACTTGGGTGACTGAGGCAGCATTTGCCTCACTGCCAGAGGTAGAAAATGGCTGGGGCTAGAATTGTAGGTATCCCTCATCTGGACAGAAGAATGACATCTGACATCTTTACGCCATTTCTCTGCCTAGGTAGATGAAGGTAGCTGTATCTCAATTCACACAGAGACTCTTATACAAATCTCTTTGTATTTGATGTTTCATGGATAGCTCAGTGGCTTAGGTGTCTGGCTGCACAGCCAGAGATTGGGAGTTAGAATTCCCTCTTTACCTCCTTGACAGGGGTGGACTTTATGATCCATAGGACCCTTTCCAGCTCTGCAGTTCTAAGATGGAGGAGGAGGTAGCACCTGGACCTCTTAACACTTTTAATGAGAAAATTGGGCTAATTATTACCTTTTACTGAAGAGAGCTCATCATGACCACGGTAAGTGTGTGCTCCCTATATGTTTACATTTATCAGTGTATGCCTTTTTATATGCAAGAATGACTAAGATACATGTGCCTAACTTTGGACTGTGTAGGAAGTACTATTGGCATCAAAGGAGATTGTACGCTCAGGATACATTTAATTCCCTTTCCTTTCAAAGAAGCTCACCTAAAGTCCTCTATTCTATCCTCTTAATGTTTCTCAGTGTTAGCATGGGAAGACTGAGCCACATGTATCTGAAATTAAGCACTTTCCCCTATGCTCCATTTTATAGTCTTTTTGTTATTGTTGACACCTGTTTCAGGATGGTTACTGGTCACTTCTCAGCAGCTTCTCTAAGTAAGACTGGAAAAGAAGCCTGGCTGAATCCTTGAAGAGTCACTGCTAATCAATATTGGGTTAGATGCACTAAGGCTCTGAGTTAGAGAAAGATAGAGTCTTACATTGCTAATCAGCATGAAATGTCAGCAATAAGTCAATAGTGGCGCCGGCCAAAGGGTGTAACTAGTATGTGGCGCACAAAGGAAAGTTCAACAGTGAGAACATGGCATTCTGTCAGAGTTTCCATTGCAAAATATTTGTTAGGGGGTTTGTATATTGGCTTTAAAAATACTGGAACTGTGACTTCTTAATGTAAGATGCCTGGGGGTATTTGAAATTGGATAAAATTCATGATTTAATCTTGATTTTTCTTTAGCCATATTGTGTACACATTAGGATGAAACTTAATTTTCTCAGATGTGTAAGAACTTTCTGTGTTCATCTATCATTTACAAATTATTTATTTCTTTGTGTCAAATGAAATTACTGTTCAAAATTGTTGCTGTTTTTTTTCTTTTACTGTGTTTTTGTTTTGGATGTTAAAACTAATTGCACAATATAATTTAATATATTAGTCGCTTTGTAAATCTCAGTCCAACAATAAATTCATCGTTGTTGTGGGTTTTGGGGGCTCTTTGGCTGTGTTCTGAAGGTTGTTCTTCCTAACGTTTCACCAGTCTCTGTGGCTGGCATCTTCAAAGGACAGAAGTCAGAACTCTGTCTGTGCTCTGGTGCAGTTTGTTTGGATAGTTGAATATTTATAGCTGTGGGATCAGCTTTTGTCCTTTTCAGGAGATGGATGATTATGGTGATCAGCATGTTTTTTGTTGTGGGTGTATTGTTGTGATAAGGGGGAGAGATTATTTGTCACTGTGATTGATGGGTTTCATTAGCTGGTCTTTTGTGTGCAGTGATCACTGGTCCTTGAGGCTGGGTAGAGTTTGTTGAACTATTGCAGGCTGTATTTTTCAGTGCTGGGTTTTACATTTTCTTCTTTTTTGTTGAACCTCTGTTGGTGTTTGTGGATTTCAATGGCTTCCCTGCGCAGTCTAACATAATGATTGCTGGTGTTGTCCAGTATTTCTGTGTTTTGAAATAGAAATTCATGTCCAGCTTGTTTTAGGGGATATTCAGCTACACTAGAGAAAGTGTTCTAGAAAAGTGAAATCTTGAATTGTTGTAAAGCCCACATTCTTCCTGACCAACAAACACAAATTGAGACTGGCAGGGAGGAGAGGGAGGGAGAGAACTTTTGTCCCATCCAGAGGACATGAGCAAAAGATGACTCCACCCCTAGAGATGTTCAGAGAAACATCAATACTTTGTTGCTGCATTTGAAAGCTGAGCTCCACATTTGCCTGTTTGTCTCGGTATGGCTCTGAAACTCACCATTGCCATCTGAACTTGCAAGAGTTGACAGAGGTCCTGTCCTTTCCCCTAAGGCATTGATGATGTGATATTGATCTTGGTGGGGCACACTGGAAACAACTGATAGCCACCAGGGAGTGGGCTTGGTTTTGAATAATTTCATTCCTCTTTATTTTTTTTATAACACTTGGTCCCTAGATCCAGCCCCATAACAGCCCTGGACTTCTGGCCCCAAGTTTCCAATTCCATCTCTATGGCTAAACCTGCCACTGTATCATAAATGTGGAGTTTCTCCAACTTTTTCCTTCTGAAAACATCTAGTCTCTCAGTGAGGAGCTGATGCACAAAAACTCAGGAAAAACTTTTTTTAAAAATGAGTTGAAATCACTATATGAGAAGTTTATAGTAATAGTCAAGAGGAAATGCACACACCTAAACTCTTGAATATACATCTTAAAAAAAATTAGGTGATCAGTTTTGAGATTTACCGTCAGCAAAAGTTCCTGAAAATAAAAGTTCAAAATGGAAAAGGAGGGAAGTGCTTTTCTAGGGGTTACTGAAAAACTCAACAGCAAAATTAAGTTAGATTATTACATTAAAAATGGATGTGACATTGAAAAAAGTTGGGCCAACACTACTATTATGTTGAGGGAGGCAGATGCTTCAGGAAGCTGTTCTGAGTTGTCATGAAAGAGCACTCAATTCTTAGTTATTCAATTTACTGTTATAGTATTTTTATTATCAGGGAGAGAAAGAGTACTAACGGGATTTTCTTACCTTAGTTGCCAGAATAACATGCCTGCCTGTATTATGTGCTTTGACAGGGAAGAGGAGAATTTGCTGCCCTTCATATAATAATAATGAATTTTCAAATATTTTGCAGCCTAAGGTAAAGGGACAAATACTTCCCTCACACAACCAAATGAAGATACACTGGATAACCATGGAGCAAATAACTATAAATTCACTGCTATTTCATGACACTGAAATCTGCTATTTTGTTGTTGTTTAGACGTTAAGTCGTGTCCGACTCTTCATGACCCCATGGACCAGAGCACGCCAGGCCCTACTGTCTTCCACTGCCTCTCGGAGTTTGGTCAAATTCATGTTGGTTGCTTCAATGACACTGTCTAACCATCTCGTCCTCTGTTGTCCCCTTCTCCTCTTGCCTTCACACTTTCCCAAAATCAGGGTCTTTTCCAGGGAGTCTCCTCTTCTCATGAGATGGCCAAAGTATTGGAGCCTCAGCACTCGGGGGTGATTTCCTTCAAGATAGATAGGTTTGTTCTCTTTGCAGACCAGGGGACTCTCAAGAGTCTCCTCCAGCACCATAATTCAAAAACATCAATTCTTCGATAGTCAGCCTTCTTTATGGTCCAGCTGTCACTTCCATACATCACTACTGGAAAAACCATAGCTTTGTCAGCAAGGTGGTGTCTCTGCTTTTTAAGATGCTGTCTAGGTTTGTCATCGCTTTCCTCCCAAGAAGCAGGTATCTTTTAATTTCATGGCTGCTGTCACCATCTGCAGTGATCACGGAGCCCAAGAAAGTAAAATCTGTCACTGCCTCCATATGTTTCCCTTCTATTTGGCAGGAGGTGATCCGACCAGTGGCCATGATCTTAGTTGTTGTTTTTTTTATGTTGAGCTTCAAACTATTTTTTGTGCTCTCCTCTTTCACCCTCATTAAGAGGTTCCTTAATTCCTCCTCACTTTCTGCCATCAGAGTGGTATCATCTGCATATCTGAGGCTGTTGATACTTCTTTCGGCAATCTTAATTCCAGTTTGGGATTCATCTAGTCCAGCCTTTCACATGATGTATTCTGCATATAAGTTAAATAAGCAGGGAGACAATATAAAGCCTTGTCGTACTCCTTTCCCAATTTTGAACCAATCAGTTGTTCAATACTTTGTTGTCACTGTTGCTTCCTGCTATTTAGGAACCTTAAATACTCTGTTTATTGGTACAGACCAGTAGTGGGCTATTTGTTGTTGCTCTTGTTACTTGGAATTGCTCAGCATCTCTGTTACTCTGCAATATATATTTTTTGAATGAAATTTCACATCCGTTTCAATTATACATGATCATAACTTGCCAAAATAATCAAAATGGAATGATTCAGATTGTTCACCTAAAATAGCTTTTCAGGAGGTTGAGGTGACTGAAGCAATTTAGGCCTGAAATTCAGCAAACTGGACTGGACTCAGCATTTGGCTCTCCTTTTTTCCTCATTTTATCAAGAACATATTCATAGTTTTCCCCTTTTGTCTCTTTGGTTGGCATATCCCACCCCTCTGTCCAGAATTTTTATTCAATTTTCTTACTTAAAACAAAACAGTTTATCAGATGCCTTTGATATTTTATGCCTTAAACCCAACTTCACTTAGACTTCTATGTTATCATGTTTAAATGCGTTTAGTTTCACTTATCAGGAGAGGTGGCTGACAGCTATAGGCATGCATACATTATTCATAAGAGCACGTACAAAAACTTGCACTGAATCAATATGAGGGTTCTAATAACTTGTAACCTTTCTGTTTGAGATGTTGGTCTATTCCAGCTTTAAAAGAGCTATTACTTTTCAATCTTTAACAATCTATGAGAAATGATATTATTGATCCTTTTCTCCTTCTTACTGCATAATTCATTTTAATCCATTGGCTGAATTAAATTCACTGAGTAGAGCATTTAACATTTCCTGCCCCCATCAAACATATCTCTGTACTGTAAACATGAAGCTTGAGCCTGTGTATGTTTACTCTGAAGTAAGCATCACTGTATTTGGTAGGCCTTCTTTCCCAGTAAATGTATACACAGCTGCAGGCATGCAGCCCAATCTGATGCTTGTGTGCCCAGATGTAAGCCCCACTATATTCCAAGGGGCTTGCTTTCTAGTACATGTGCAGAGAGCTATGGTTGTTTTTTATTTTAAAGGTGACTAACCAAGTTCCGAAGGGCTTACTACCAGGTCAATGTGCTTTGGAAACCTAGATGCTATGGTTTTGATCTAGCCATGCATATTTCAAAACTTTGGTGTGGCTATATTGGTTCTATCATTACAGCAAAGATGTATGATTTTAAGGTGGTTTTGGAGGAAATGTAGCTATACAGGCTACCCAAACCTCCCTTTCATCCTTTATGCACAATGATTCTTCCTCTTCACCACTGCTGCTTCACCCATCTTCAGCACCATTTTTCTAAATGGGGTGAAACCCAATGTTAATCCTACCTAATGTGGGCCCAAAGAAATAAATGAGAATTGTTACTCAGAGCTGACTTAAGTTCTATTGATTTCAGTGGGTCTACTTTAAGTAGGACTAGTACTGGATTTAATTCATAGGCTTTATGCTATCCCAATCAGTCAGATGTCATATAGGCAGCAGGGCAACACAATGAGGCAGCCAATCAGGTTGGATTGCATAATGACGTCACAAAGTCAAAGCAAGTGAACTCCTTGTCCCATTTTCATGGCTTACCACTACGGAATATGATGAAATTACAGTTTGAATGGGAGGTATAAATACAATTCAGGTTTTTAAACCTCTCTGTATCATTACTATAGGAAAAACAGCTATAAAGGAACACAGAATCAGAATACATTTCTATGACAACAATGTCTTTGAATTAAATCTTCCTCCTGAATGTTCTGTTTATAAAAAGGGTATTGCATTTTTATTGTTTTACAAATAATATTAAACCATAAATCATTAACTGAGGAAGACCATTTTATCATTTGTATCTGTGCATTCTTGGTTTGAAAAAGGCATTCTTATAATCTAAAGTCAATAAATACAAAATTTAAATAGGTATGATTAATCATTTAAATTGGATGCTATATACAGGGCTATTTATATTGTGTGGAAACTGTAAAAAGATCGGCATCTTCTCTCCTTGAGTGGAACCAGAGCTTGACAAAGTCTCCTCCTCCTCCTCATCATCATCATCATCAGTAGTAGTAGTAGTAGTAGTAGTAGTAGTAGGTGGAGGAGGAGGAGCAGCAGCAGCAGCAGCAGTATATAACTCTGAAATTTCTATCTAGCATGCCAGCAGGAAGATTCTAGGCTTTATAGTCCAAGAAAGTAGGTCTCTTTTTGTCTGTTTAAAGCTTGAATACAACAAACTGAACTACTTGACTGCATCAGGCTCCAACTTACCTGCTCAAAGCAGCACTGAAATATTCATGGTGTATAACCACCATGTGCACACAAGTTTGCAACTTGATGTCTATGCAGGAAATGCCATATGTAAAATGGATCTCAAAAGGCAAATAATTGAGCACATCTTATACAGCATAGTCACTATCTTTCTGTTTGTTCTAATGATGCAACAGCACTGTTAGTGAGTCTAAGGAACCCGAGGGATAAGGATGCTAAATCCAGGATCTCATCCAAGCATCCTGCCTCAAATGTCTCATGCTAGACAAGTCAAAGAACACGATGCAGGGAGCCATGGCTCAGCTGCCAGCCAGTTCTTGCAAAGAAGGTGACCAGCTCTGCTCTCCTGCATCAATCGGTCCCAAAGCCAAGACTGTAGGAGAGAGATTTTTCTGGAAACCAAGGATGAGATCAAACCCCCCGCCCAGTTCCTGAGGCCCTTATAAGGTGCTGCTACTTGGGAGGCCTTATGCAGGAGAGACATTGTCATTTGAATCAAGCGGGGCAAGCTTTCCCACCTGCTCTCTGCCCCCCATCATCTACTTGGGACCCTTATATAAAGCAGTGGCTTAGAAAGAGGGGTAACTCCTCACCATGTCACCGCTGTTTTCTTTCTGAGATTTCTCCAGAGCCGTTGTTAGCACAGGGGAAGGATGTGTTTGAGCTGTAAGCTGTTTGTTTTAAAACTGTCCTTGAGATTACTGAGCTACTGTTGTCTCAAACTTTTGTAAGTTGTATGCTTTTTTTTATTTGTTCTAACCTTCTGTAAGCCACATTGCTGGTCTTTTTGACCAACTGGTGTCACAGACTTAAATTACAACATAATATGACTAGGCTTGGGAAGAACAAGGACATGGAGAAAAGGGGCAGAGTCTCAGCATCAATCTATGAGAGCCGATCTGGTGTGCGGCTGGAATGCTGGACCAACACTCGAGTCCAGATCTCCCAATGAACACTGGAATTCACTGAATGACCTTGGGCCAGTCATTCTGTCAGCCTGAGAGGATTATTATGAAAACTGGTAGAGGAAAACATGTATACCATTTGATTTCATTAAAGGATACATGAAATATACATATTAATACTACTACTATTACCACAGCTACTATTAAAGAGTGTTTGATATTTTTGATGATGGTGATGAGTGCTTCCTTTTTACCTGACAGAACACCAACCTACCATTTGATTTCATTAAAGGATACATGAAATATACATATTAATACTACTACTATTACCACAGCTACTATTAAAGAGTGTTTGATATTTTTGATGATGAGTACTTCCTTTTTACCTGACAGAACACCAACCTCACCAGCAGCCACAGTAGAAGGGGAAACATCAGCAACAGCAAGAACATCAGCTACCAGAACGAAGGAGCAGAAGTTTCTAACAATTACCAATGTGCTCCCCACCTTTACCAAAACTTCAGGCTCAATACTGCAGCCAATTGGGAGGGTGCTTAAAACCACCTCCGACACAAATGAAACAGCAGGCACTCCAAAGCAGAATCAACCAGCCTCTTGTAAGGCAGAAGACTGACACACAGATTCAAGGTAATGGAACTTTTCATCCTTTCCCTTTCCAGACTGTGTTTACATTACACAGTTACACTGGTTTCATACCATTGTAACTACCATGGGTCCATCCTGCAGAACCCTGGAGTTTGGCAAGATAATTAGAACTGCTGTCATTCAGTGGAGCATGCTAGAGTTCTCTAGCGGAGAATTATAAGCATCTCAGCAAACATGTTTGTCTGGTAATCCTTTACTTTACTTTGTTGTCCACTGCAGGTAACTCTGGATCATGTGAGGAAGGGCCACACCTGCAGGGAGACAGGCAAAGACTCCAATCATGTGGCCTCTGATGTTCAGATATGTCTGAAGCTACCTTCCACTTCATATCAAGCAAGCAGGAGCTACTCACCAACTGCTTCTTAGAACTACTAGAGGGAATCGCTGGCTGCTCTTGACCATCTGAAAAAGTTGTTCTTAAAAAGTTGTTCTTAAAGCATGCCATAGTACTGTAGTAATTTTCCCCCCAGCTCTTCCTCTCACCCCCAACCCCATAAATGTTTCTCTGAAAATAGTATAAAGATAGGCCCAGACCTACCCTTAGGCAAAGTGAAGAAGCTGCCTTAAGCATCCACTCCGGGGTATCAAAAATGGGCTGCAAATTCTTAATTTGTTATTATTGTACTTGGACAGCCAAGGATGGAGAAAGGTGTTTGAATAATTTTCTTCCTCATGAGCCAAAATAGGCTGACTTAGAGTCCTATGGTATTCACCTTGATTTCTGTAGGTGTATTTGCTGTTCTTAGGTCATTCTTATATAGGGAAGAAAAGTAATCTGGTCACTTCTGCTTGGTTCACTTCTTGGCTTTTTAATGCAAACCTAGGACATTATAAAAGTTAAGAGGAACTTGTAAAATGGTCTATTGCAGGGCTGACAACTCACATATCTGGGTAACACCTACTCTTCTACACAGAGAGAAACCTTAATAGTTGTCTTCCCTCTAACTGAACATTGACAAAAAGAAGAATGCCACAGATTGCTGTTGCAGTGAAGACAATGACAGATGTTTAAAATAATAGAGACTTAAGATTTAATAGCTGGAGAGACAAAATGGTTTCGTATAGGCAAAAGTGTCAGACAAGGGTGTATTTTATCCCCATATCTATTCAATCTGTAAGCACAACATTTAGCGAGGCTAAATTCAGACAAAGAAGTGAAAATTTGTTGCAAGAAATATCAATAATTTAAGATACGCAGATGACATCATCTTACTGGCAGAAAGCAGCAATGACTTGAACCAAATTTTAGTGAAAGTGAAAGAAGAAAGTGTCGAAGTAAGACTAACTGAACATTAAGAAGATCAAAATAGTTATTTCTGAAGAACTACACAACTTAATGTTATCAATGACAAAACTGGAAAAGCGACATTAAGTACAAAATACTGTAATTATCAATATATATCTGTAGTGGCCATTGTTGTGTTGAATATATCTGCTACTTCCTTGATCTTCTTGTGCACATTAAATAAATAAAATATCTTTTGTTGGTTTCCTGTTTCTTTACATCATTCAGAGCACCATTTTCCTTTGGTCTCCATAGTTTTATTCTGGTATACTTATGTAATTCTTCATGTTTGATATCATCTTGGTTTTCTGCTTTCATTTCTCTTCCTTTAGCTCTACTATCTTGTTAAATTTTCTTAAAATGTTTTAAAATTATAATTTATTTAATGTTGGCAATGAATAAATTGTTATAGACTTTGTATACTTGGTTCAATCATTACCTCAAAAGGAAATTGCAGCCGAGAAATCAGAAAACTGAGACTCAGAAGGACAGCAACGAAGGGATTAGAAGAGATCATCATTTATTCACTGTGATATTCTCAATAAACCCTACACCTTTCAATTGCTAATAAGATTTTTCTTCCCAAGAAGCAGTTATAAAAGTCAATGCTCAAAAAAAACAAAAACCTAAATAGACACAAAACTTTTTGTTCAATTCAAAGATATAATACCCATACTATTATGTATTAACCCCAAGGACAATCCTAGCTAGCCAGTGACCCCATAATCAATGGGCTATCCCTAATGGCAAGTGGCCAGTTGAAAGTGGGCATGGTGTTTCCTAGATTAGTCACATTGATGATCCCAGTTAATCAGTGATTATACAACTATTGGCATGACACCACTATCACTATGCAAAGATTCGTTTATGTGATGATGTTACTGGTTGAAAATAAAATCAATTGCATGAGAATGTTTGAAATGCAATATAATTGAACAGGCAAACAGTCTCTCAGGTAGCACTAAACATTGGCAGAAAGCTAAAAGGGTGTTGTGTTTTTTTCTTACATTGAAGAAAACTTTTCATAAATGTTATGTACAATTCAAATTTTACCATGGAGGGGAAAAAAGAATCAGACTATTTCAGATATAATGCAAGAGGAAAAAAAGCTGAAGTAAGCAAATATTTTATATATTTGTGACCCCTATTTTTTTTACTGCAACTAACATTAGCATCTGTTTCTCTTGCCCCCATGGATTGCTGTGTACTTATCTTGACAAGATAGTTGGGTTTTTTAACACTGCCAATGCCTCTTAAATCTTGTATTTGATGACAAGATTTTCTTAGAAGCTATTACAAAACTCAAAACTAAAATAAATATTAAAGTAGACATGCCTTTTCCCATTGAAGGATATGTTAGCTATATCTTTCTTCTGAATCTGTAGGTCATTAGTTATATAAAATGATACTCTTCCAGAATCTTTGAATACCAAATCTGCTCTCTGTCAGGTTTAAACAATGATTAAAATTACATCACTTGGCGACTATAACTATAACATATGTAAACAAAGCTGACATATGGAGATGTCAGGGAAATTCAGGCACGCTCAAGTTTCTAACCAGGTTGTCTGACCTTGGATATAACAAGTATAACACACTGAGCACTGACTTTTCTGAATGAACGGCTTAAAATTAAAAATACAACCACTACCCATCCTCCACACACACACAAAGGATTATATAGCACTGTTACAGACATCATGGGAGTAACAGATGCAATGCCATTCAAAAAGATATTTGATTGAATTCAAGTGTCCAGTGCAATCTTACAAATGTCTTGTCATGACAATTGTATGCAGTAGGACTTACCCCTGCTGGGATAAGGAATGTGTGGCTCTCTTGGTATTGCTGCCCCCCCCAATCATCTCTCAACATTGACTATGCTGACTAGGAGTAAT